TGTACCGCAGCAGAAAGACTGCTGCTCACAGTCTTTCTTCTAGTGCTTAAGACTGAGTTTCCTACTGATGGAAACTCGATGGTGGTCAAGTTTTGTGCTTTGGGTGACCAGTCTGGCAGCTGTTCTGCAGCATCCATCAGGCCAGGAAGGTATGCAATGCACACCCACCTGGGTATACAGCCCATATGGCTGTGGAGACGTGGAGATCTACATATTTGTCTGTTCATGCCTTATGGCCAACTTGAATAGGAATTAGGCTGAGTAGGAGCGACACTGATTTATACCATCTGCAAGTTTGTGCCACAAATACATAAGCATTCATATGCTTTTGTGTCTGTGCATGCACTGGGGGGGTTGCATGCTGATAGAGACCAAGTACACTTGTGGTAGCATTAGGTTGCCCTCAGAACTGTCAGGGTATGTAAACAACACTGATTTTAATGGGAAAACTGTATATGTGTGTGTGTGTGTATGGAATACTTATGAGCGTGTGTGAAAAATGCTTCTTGTGCTATAATGCCAGCAATGACAATTTGTTTTCTCTAACTCAACAAAATCCTCACAGCCATCCATTCAAAGCAGTCATCTTTGGCAAGTGCCATAAATATGCATAGTGTATACACAAATATGAGCTGTAAGAGTTGAAATCATCTTGTAATTAAGGTCCACACCTGACAGTAAGGGAAGCTGAATTTGCTGTTAGACCTTCAATATCTGTGGAGATAAGACTACTATCCACATCCACCAAGGAAAGAATGAGAAATGATGGGCTTAAATTGTAACCTAGATCTTCTTGCTCCATATTAGGAATAACTTTCTAGCAGTAAGAATACCTACACACTAAAATAGGTTGCCTGAGAAGATTATAGAATTCCTTCTTTGAAGTTTTCACAAAGAAATGCCTGAGTTGGACGAACATCTGTTGGGACTAGTTAAAGGCGGAAAAAAAGGGGGTTATGTCTTTTGGAATGCTTTTCATTTATGTTTTCTCGTGCCTTTAGAAGCACAGATGTGTCTCTGCTTCTTCAGCTGAACATGACTGGATGTCAGCACTGTCTATGCTTATAGCAACCTCACTTACAACAAACTTATCTGTAAAGTCATCTGGCCTTAATCTCTGTCCTCTGTTTTAATGGTCAAGCTTAAGTAATGGCCTTTGCCAGTCATCATAACTTGACTGCCCTCCTTTGATATTCTGGGAGCTGCAATGAAAAACACGAGGCAGAAGGAAGCAATTTCTTAGTCAAATGAGTTTCAAGATCAAGAAAGCTTTCCTCTTCAAAACTGTCCTATACTTGTGACTTCTCAACTCCTTAATCTTTCTTTCTTGTTTTAATAGTAAGGGGCATTATAAAGTTTTTGGTAAAAATCCAATCCAAATATATTAGCAGATAAAAATATTCAACTCTTGCCCTGCTACCTGGACCATGATTGCCCAGTCCCTTCTGAGTCCCCAGCATTCTTTTGGTCTTATTGGCCCTCCAATTAGCCCAGCAATTTCTTTTTGGCACTCAGGTATCTGTACCATAATTGATTTCCAAAACACTTGCCTTTACAAGAAAAAAGCTATTCCTTCTATATAATTCCATAGAATAGTCACCAGTTCTCTTCTGCCTTTATGCTCCAGCTGATTTTGTCTTCTCATTCCATCAAAGAGGATGCTATGAGGGAATGCCTGAAACCTAGGGAATGTGAAGAAGAGCAACAACAACCCGTAAAGAAACACATTCCAGTAGCTGACCATTTGCATGTACAAATAATTCCAGTGAGGCTGTCTAAAAGATTTATTATTTGGCAAAAAGAAAAGGAGAAACTGTTGGCTTGTTTGAATGCTTCCACAGTGAATGAGTATGGCACATGGAGATTGAGAAACAAGGTCAGACTCACTTATATCTAACTCTTGCTTACCTGGAGCCTGGATACTTGGTATTTATAATATCTGTACCACTGCTGTTTCTTGGAGCATCTTTCACAGAAGCTCAATGGGGAATTTTCCAACAGTTTTGTGTTGAAACTTTCAGTTTGTGAAAATACAAGAATGTACAGCTTTTTGGTTTTTTTTTTTTTTTTTTGGTTTTTTTTTTTTTTAATATAACATTTTTGGAAGGAGTTTTTGGTCTCAGCTGGAAACTTTTGATGAAAGAGACCAGCTGGACCTGGGACTCAAACAGCATGGTGGCCAAGGGTTTAACCAAGGAAGCTGGAAGTCACATGAAAGCCCTCACTCTGGCTCTGTTCCTAATAGCCATTATTTTTCTCAGAGTTTTTTGTGATTTTTTTGGTTTTTTTCCAACAGTTGAAGTAGTTTTTTAGCCTTGGCTGAGTGAGGGAGTGGCTATTACACTTTGTATTAGCTGTCCCCATAGTTGTCAAATGAGGAGGAAATTGGTTGTGTAGGCCTGCTGGAGCACTCATCTGGGATGTGAGAGCTGGGAAATACAGGAACAAGAACTAGGACCTCCCCAATGCAGCCAAATGCCTACCTATTTGTTAAACTTGAGTCATTCCTTCTTGTTTTTGAAAAACAGCTTTGACAGGTCTTGGTTTTTTCCCTCCAGTGGGCAATGACTCATTGTCAACTGACTGACTCAGAAACTAGGCAGTCTTACACATGCCTGCTGGGGAATTTATCCTAAGATATCTTCCCTGGTTGGCTCTTGCAACTCTGGAAGTGGAGAGTCCCCTAGGATGTGTAAAAGCCATAAAGCTTGCTGAGATCATCCGATCAGCTTCACTCTATTAGCACCCTACTGACCAGATCTGAATGCCTTAGGCTGTCCAAAGAGGTTTTGGTGGACAGTATATGTACGTGAGAGAGCAGCAGCGGGAGATGCACTGTGTGTGATGATGTAGACCATCTGTAGCTTTCTGGTATGTGTTCTCACAAAGTTATGTTCCTATGGAGGGAAATAGCCTCTGACAGGGGCCATCCGCGTTCTTTCAGGGGAAGTCCAGAGCTGCTTAAGGGTCTGGGAGTGCTGCATTAATTCTTTTTGGTGTGTCGATGCAGCCACTCTCATGATGCCCCTCGGATACTCTAAGACAAGCTAGGCAGCCAGAGACTTTGACCTTAGAGGTGTTGGCAGAAAGGGCTAAGAAGAATATTTATTTAGAACTGTGGCTTTGTCCTGAGCCTGCTATGCCTCCAGCTATATTATACATGGTGTGTAATGAAAACTTTTCACAATACGAGAAAATAGTATGGAAATAGCATTTTCTGGCCATCTCTAGACTGCAGTTCTCTTTTTTGGAGCAACATTTACTTCAGAGTCAGTTAAAGCACAGAAGACATTGGTATTGGGGATAGTGAGAAGGAATGAGATAAAATCTCATGCAAACAAGTGTTGGCAGTCAATGGAATTGTACTCCATTTTCCAAGGACTGGATCTGGCATTGTGTCTTAGAAGCCTTACGAGATTTATTACCAGTTTGGCTTGATCTGTGACACAAGATTTATGGCTAGGCTGAAATTGCCCAGAAATAGCACTTCTTTCACTTTGTACCAGCACTCCATCTATCCAACAAATGCTCAAATGGTGGGCATCATTCAAGCCAAGGAACTCAACTACCTCCATGGTGGAGGTACAAGGTTCAAAGAAAGGTCCACCTAAGGGACCCAGAGAATGCCTTCCTGAGGGAGTTCTAGCCTGAGAAGAATACTAGTTTCTCAGAGCCAGATCAAAGCACATTGCAAGGGTGTTCACACCTTTTCACACAGGACACAGGCAGACCTTAGGAGCGAGGGGACTGTGTGGCTCTTCCAATATGTTTATTAACTAGTCATCTGAAGGAATTTATGATGGAGACATGATAATTGCTCTTCCTTTTTCCACACAGTGAATTGAAAGCTCTCATTCAGTGAACACCATACCTCTTTTTATAATCTTCACCCCAATTCATCTCTACACAGGCTCAGAACTGTAATTCAGTGATGCCCTACAGATGATGTTTCTATGTTTTACAATGGTTTTGTTAGTGATAGAGTTACAGAATTATGGGCACTTTGTTGATCAGCCCAGAAGTCCTTGTACACATCAGTCTTTCCAAAACACAGAGAACCCTTCTTGGTGATTCCCAATCTTCTGTTTAAGGAAAAAATTGCCTTAATATATAGTGGTAGGAATCTAATGTGGTTGACCTCTTCTGTCTCATCTCTCCTTCGGAACTCTAGGTTATCCTATAAAGCAGTGTATTCACAGACCTCTAAGTCAAGGAGGTAAGTCATTCTCCCTAGACCTGATAGTGGGAGATATGGGACCTGGGTTTTTGTTTTCTGAGTAGTTTAGGTAGCTGCAGGTTACCATTAAATAAGAGGTTGGAGCCAGGGCAGGTAAAGGACAGGGGAGCAGTTCTTTAACTTGCGATGGAGTGTAGACACTGCCTGATTTGGATTTTCTGAGCAGCTGTACTCTAAGTCCACCTGAGTTGATGGCTGCCTTTCCACTCACAATGTGGCTTAACTGAGTGGAATTTTATTTCCTGAGTGTACAATAAAAAGCACAAAGGTTACCGTATCTGTTAAATCACAGGAAAAAGGAAGAGATGGTGTAGGGGGATAGAGAAAGAAACTTCCAGTGCGCACAGTTCATCTCCAGAGTGGTAGAGAATAGGAAAAGAGTCATAGAGGGTTTCAAAGCAATATATTGCCTCTACTTCATCATTAGTGATATTTCCAGAGCACACAAACAACTGCAACCATTCCAGCCCCACTGCTTTCCTTTTTTTGTTTGTTTGGGTTTTTTGTTTGGTTTTTGTTTTGTTTTGTTTGTTTTTGTTTGTTGTTGGGTTTATTTTAATATTGTCTTCACCACTTCTTTCATCTGCCTCTTTAGTGATTTTTTTCCCCACTATATTATTTTTTGTCACTGGATTGCTAGAGACCCCCTGAATGCTATACAAGTGACAGTTCCTGAGCAGTTAAGAAGAACAGTCAAACAGAATGACATAAGCACAAAAAAAGGAGGGAAGAGAAGCCCTCCAGAGCTGTAATTTCACTTCCTTTATTTTATCTGCTTGCAGGGGCAATATAAACAGGAGAAAAATGACAACAGAATGCTCCACTTCTAATAACTTCAAATGGTTTGAATCTGACATTGATGGGGAACTTGGAGAAACCAATAGCAATTCCTCAATTCTTTTTTTCTTGCTGCCCTCCACCTGGACTTCATGCACAGGAATGAAGAAGAGCTACCACAGCAGGTAGCTAACACCCAGGCATGGTGCAGCAAACTCTTCACCTTCGTCTGTAGGCCTAGAATATTGTCTGACACGCACAAGAAAAATATGAGGTGAATTAACATTCCTGATATATAGAATAACTAGCATAAAGACTCAAGTTTTTCAAAGTTACATACTGCACATAACCTCCAGCAAGTCTGTAACCCTGTTGCAAAGATTCTGTGTTTTTCAAGGTCAGCTGAAGCGCTGCCTACATTAAGGAAGTTGGCACCAATGCAATTGCATCAATACAGAGCACGTTTTCTTAATGTAGAAAGGACCTTGCTGTCCCTTCACGAATGAATCTTGCATATAGAACTTTCTGAAGGGAAAATAATGAATAAAACAAATGTAGAGTTTACAGACATAACATGTTTTTTTGATGGAGAAACCTTTGATAGTTTTGAAGAAACTAGACTTTTTTTTTTTTTTACTTTTACAAGACTTCTATTTCTAAAAACTGTTTTCCAAATGACATATAATTTACCCCCAGAAGCATTTTCCTCTGACAGGTGATCTAGTCATGATGAATTTCAGGAAGAAAAGATATTTACTGAGAAACTTAGACACAATTAAAAACTGAGATGTGAAAGGAAATTCGCTGTTCTCCCTTGAATGTTCTGACTCACCAGATGTGTAGGTTCTCTGTATTACCTGCTGTGTACAGAACACCTTCCTTGCTGCTTTTGCAGGGGTCATAAGGGAGGATTCAGTAATGGGAAGCAGTAGGATCTGAGGATGCTAGTTTTAAAAATTTCAGCTTAATTTCTTTCCCAAGATTTACTCTCCAAATGGGAGATGCAGCAAAACAGTGGGTCTGTTGTGTCTTATAGTGGTGGATGAGAAGTTGCCCTTCTCCTTCACCTGCTTCAAAACTTATTACTCCGTAAGCAGGATTCAGATCCATATTCAGCCACTTGAATGTGGCTGGTGCCTAGATTGTCCAGTTAAGGGCAGGCTTTGGTCAAATGACTACATTTTTGCTTGTCATCTGATTCTCAAATCACAACGTACTTGCATTCAGAGAGCATCTGCCAGGGGATGATGAAACGTTACTGTTGTCATTCTCTTGTAGGCAGGGCAGCACTGATAATGACACAGTTTTCAATAGCAATGATAGTTGTAATTTAAGGACCAAGAGGCTGGAGAGAATATTTTCAATAATCCTAACAGGTAATGTTGACTCTGGTGAAAACAACAGGATGAACTGTAACTGTAGTTCCTGGAAAGTCTTCTCATGTAGCTCTTTTCATGTCCCATCTGCAGGTCACTACCAGCTCATTTTTTGCTTAGAGGAGAGTAAATGAGGATTGTGTTCTTCCAAAAGAGTCTGTTTTTTGGTTGCATTCAAGTTGTTTGATGTTCCCTTGCACTTTTTCTCAATAACAACAGAACTGAACACCATACTCCTAAATGTACTGACAACCACAGCTTCAGCTGAAGTTTTCGTAGTGTGCCTAGGTAGACTCTTTTTTTCATGCTCATTTGTAATTGTCAACTTGAATAACAATACTAAAATATTCTAAAATTATCTATTTGAGTGGAACAACCAAAGAGTACCATATACCAGGCATTACTCCAGGAGGGAGAGCCAATGTGAGTTCTGCTTTCCTTAACTGATCCGTAACTTTGTGCCTCTTGAAACCATCATGCCTAGCTTAAGCTCAGTGATACTTCAGTAATATTCTAGCTCTTCAGAGTAAGTGATGAGATTGGACTGTCATACATCTATCTCATCTAAATGGCCCTCACAACAATTCTATATATTTAGGAAAGGCTTTATTTTGTGTTGTAGACCCCATATAATAGCAACCTGTATCCATCTAATGCAACTGTGCCATTGCTACGTTGCTCCCCTTGTGTATATGTCACTATGACTTTTTTCCCCCTACTCTGCTCAATGTGGATTTTTCTGGGCCAACAAATTAGTGAAGAATTTGGTCAATGGTAGTTGTAGCCCAGTTTCTGTCGTAACAATGATAGTTTGTCCATTCACTTACGATAACATTATCACAACCTCCCGTGTTCTTCAATAATCCTCTGTTTCTCCATGTTTGGTAGCTGATGCAAAAGGATAACAAGGGATCTCTTTAGTGGAGGTGTATAAGCTAGTTCCTGGCTGCCTAGAGGAAGTCTGAGCACAGCTGTCTACCTCTGTGGTGATTTTGATATTAGAGTGACTGAGTGAGTACCTTCTTCCTATCTGTGTGATCTGTGTATATGAAGAAGGTGATCTTCTGCAATTTAGTTTATCTCCTGCTAAAGCAGGCTGTATTCCACGTAACTACTTTTCACCATGCCAGCCAATCAGTCGTGTTGACACTATGGTGTCACCTTTGTGACAGCTACTTTATAGAGGTAACAGAATGCTGGTAGCCAATTAGATTTTGCTGATAGAGACACCACAGAGTCTGTTCAACAGGGAAAAGGTGCACACCCACAGCTTGACAATTATAATAGAATTGAAATTACAAAGCACATAGAGGCTAACTTAGTGATGTATTACAGGTAGGTGCATATCTACAGCCCTGTTGGACGGTATGAGCATACAATGGACTAGACAGCCTTTGAAGTTCCCAACCCAAGCAATTCTACATACCAACAAATTTAAAAAGTGTTAACCTGGTCATAAACTATTCTCAGAAAACTACGTAAGAAGAACAGGCTGCATGGCTGACCTCTCCTCCCTCACAGGAGGCAGGGGAGCAGCTGTTCTGTCCACGTTGCACTTGCCTTTACTGTGACAGAGGAGCATGAACTGATCTGTGCCATGTGCCTGTATGGCAAGCAGGTAATTTTCTTTTGTGTGCGTCTCATATAGATAGCAGGGAAATGCAAGAGGCTGCAAGCAGCACAATTTTTCTGGCCATTGCAAGAGCCCTGTGTGCAGAGTCACCTCACACGTACTCAGAGAACAGCCAAGCGTGGCCGCTCAGACTGGGTGTTCTAAATCATTGTAACCTTTTGCAATGTTTTAAGTTTGCTACTTTAAAAAAAAATAAATCTATTTTGTTTCTACGTCTGAATTTCTTTTTTATACTCTGGTGCACTCTTCCCAGAAGCAAGAACTATAGACATGTACTCTGGGGATGGGTTATTTTCTCTAGAATAAAATGAAAAATATTCCCCTTATTTTTTCTGGAATAGGGATGCAAAAATGCTAGTCTTCTGCCTTTGTTATTCTCTTCACCTCCTTTTCTCTACAAAGAGGAATGCACCCTATCTTGCAATTAATCCTCATGATTTCAATGGTAGGTGAAGTTATTTCCAGTTATTTGTTCTTGGCTTGAGGAAGTTTGGAATTAACTGTTCAAATCAGGTCATCTGTCTAGAAATGCTTTTCTAAACCCTATCTGTGTTAAGTGCTTTATATCCAACAAATGACCAGAAAAAGTTTCATACACCTCCTTGTGTGCGTATACAGCTTGTTTGCAGTCTTCGGTGCTTCTGCATGCACAGTTGCCATGGGTATAGTTGCACATGAGAGTATGGATAGTATAGCTGGTTGTCTCTCCCCCTGACTCACCCAGGCAGGTTTTTATCCTGGCTTCTGAAATCACACCAAAGCTCGTTTGTCTTCATCAGCCCTGGCAGGTAAATCATATTCACAGTAGTACAGCTGCACTCATGGCTGACAATGGGGTATATTTTTCATAGTGTGGTGAAGGCAAGAGGCATCCTGCTTCCCTGTAAATTGAGTAGCCTGCCTGTTTCAAATGGTGAGACAAGCAAATAGACACAGTGATCTGGGGCATGTGCTAGATGGAGCTGCTGCTCATGCTCAAGGTAGCCTGTGTGATGCCTCTTTGCTGCCTGAAAGACTTGTGACTTCAAGCTGGTTCCTTATAGAGCCTTGCTGTATACTATGTTTTTCTGGTATGATGTTTTGAGGTTTTCATGTTAAATTCAAAATTAAATTAATGTTTTTATTCCAGTGAAGAAAGCATCACTTCTGGTTTTGTATGGAGGATTTGAAAACTTTGATTATTTTAGGGACAAGGGTGAGTCCTTCCCGTTTTCACTTGGGGGCTGAAGTGGCTCAGGGCACATGCTCATGAGGCCACATATAGAATGGCTCAGCACAGAGCTGTGGTTATGGTCATCCCTCAGCCACACAGCGTCAGCTTTAACGTCACAGTTGCTTCACTCCTCCCCTGAGGAGCGGTTTGTGTTTTCTGAGGCATGTGCCTGTCAGGCAGAGCTGAGTAAAGGGATGTGTTCTGGCTTTAACTTCATCTCAGAGAATTTAAAAGAAAAGTATGTTTTAGGTAACCTCAAAAATAGGTAAGAGGATGCTAGAGTCCAAGCAGAGAGGATGGATGGCCTTGAGCTGCCCTCTGCTCAATCCTGGCAGATGCTACACTGTCTCCCAGAGACCTATCACCTGTGCCATACCTGTGTACCCTGTACCAAGCCATTCCATTTGGGATAAAGCTGGCATGCACATAGCAGTCTCATGCAGAGCTCTTTGCATCACAAGAGGTAGGTGAGCTCAAACACACCCTGCAAAGGAATCTCTGCTTTTCTGAGCACATGATAAATGCACGAAGAAATGAAATGCTGTGGGTGAATGGCCCAGAGTACTACCCTCTTCTCAGACATGAGGTACTGGGGCCAGCACGAGTGAGTAGCTGTGTGAAATCCTGCTTTGGATGTGAAGGCAGTATCCAGATTATAGTGGTTCCTGTCGGGGTGTTGATTGCTCTGAAGCACTATTGCACTGTTGTTTCCAACCCTGTGTGCGCATGGGGAAGTTGGAGGAAGACTAAGATCCAGTCCATTCTCAGTCAGTAAGAGGCAGAAAGATGCAGAGATAGTTGGTCCCAAACTGGGCCAGGGGCAAGGGGGAAAAGGGAAGAATCAAGAATGAGGAAGGGAAACAAGCTACCCTTCCCCCAAATTGGGGATGGAGGATAGCTGAGCAACAGAAACCTGTCAAGATAGTAACTAATAACAATTAATAATTTATTGAACATCAAATAGCTCTTTTCCTCATGGTTTCCAAAAGCTCTTTACGGCCTATATATAGAGACTGCATTACAGTGTGGTATGCACTTTTCAGCAGCGTGGTTTAGGAAAAGCCCTGCTGCTGAGGCACAGTGGAGCCCCATCAGCTCAGAGGAACACTAGGAAAAGATTTGCACCCTCAATCCTGCCTGCTTCACTGTTTTTAAAAAAAAGAATAAAAAGAAGTGCACTGAAACAATCATTTGATGAGTAGAAAGAAGGCAGAACATTGTATGGGTGTTATTTCTTCCTGCCTACAAAGACAGGCTGTCCCAATAAATTCAATTGTATAGACATTCAGAGAAGGAGGACGGGGGTTGGAAGGAAACAAATGCATTTTAGAAAGCCTATGATAATGACTTAAAATTGCTTTTCTTCATAATTGCAATTTTAAGAGCTGACATCTAGTGATAAGCCAAGTGTAGATGCTGATGGCTTATAGAACATGGGGGACTGTTATACACTGATTCTTGTCTATCCGTGGACTTATTTAATTCAGAAAGAGGATGATGTTGCTTCTAAAGCAGTTGGGGGAGGGTGAATTAGTGGGAGAGGCAAATGTGAACATCCAAAAAGGGCAGGTCAGCTGACAGAAAAACTGTCATGCAATGTACCCTTTCCTCATTGCACCTGGATCTGTTCATGTCTGCCCCAAAACACTGCCTTCACCTCCATGGGGGAACAGACACAGCAGGCATCTGAAAGGCAGAGCCCAGCACTACAGGACAGGAGGTGCAGAAGTACATGCCTCCTGAGAAGACTGCAGAGAGTGTAATGCTTGTAAGAAAACAATTAAAAGAGCTGAGCAAACAAATGATAAATAATGTAGTAGGAGTTGGTGTAATGAACCTCCTTAGAAAGCTGGCCCTTAGGCCAGCTTCAAGTTCGCCCAACCTCAGCAGGAGAAACCCCACCTCTTAAAACCACCCAGTGCATAAAGTCACTTTGGAGGAGCAATTAGGGAAGAAGCTGCTTACTCCATTACTCTTCAATCATTTGCTGTTAAGTTTAGGGGGCGATGGGAAACCCCAGTGGATTGACTGAGGCTGCTTTTTGTAAGTGAAAGCTTACTTATGTAAATGTGTTTAAGAGGTGCCTTTCAGTGAAAATGTTTGCTACATTTCCTGAAAAGAGCTAATGGAAACCTCTCCTTAGAGATGATGCAGTTAGGGCTGTGTTATAGATTTCACCTGTGGATGCCTGAAACTCAGGTGACCAGCTGCAGAGATTATCTGTTCAGGGTACGGCCCCGCTTTTCCTGTTAGACCCTGAACTGCCAGGAGACCTCCCATTTCCTGTTTGTTTTATTAGGCTTTGATAGACACATAGTGCTTTGAGTGCATTTTGGGTTGTATTTCTTGCCAAAGACAATTGCAACTATGAGGTCATGGCATTTTCTTGGTTTTCCCTTTCCTGCCTATCCTTAGATTTAGAATTATAAAGTATTTCCATTCATATGGAGAGCCTGATTTTGACATGGAGCCTGCAGTTGCCATTAGGAATAAATGGGTCTCAAATCTTTGTACCAAGGGGACTGAGCATGAACAGCTGTTGGAAAGAGATGTCTGGAAAAAAAAGTGGCCTGGCTTGGAAACTTCACTTAAACTCTTGTTCAGTTTGTGCTTGGGGGGATGGGGCGAGAGAATTTGATCTCCGGGCTGCAATCTTTGTATACTGAACTTGCAGCAGCCTTGAGGTTTTGGTAAGAGGGGATGGATTTCCCCATGTCCTGGAGAATCATGAAGCCAATTGGAGTGGTTCACTCCATTTTTTTCTGTCAGGCTGTGTGCCTCGGGAAAGGACGGGAAGCATCTCTGGGTATTGGAAAGGAGGCTCTGGAATGCTGCAGTCAGGTGAAATAGCAGCTTCTGTGTAATCCAGCTAGTGAAAACGATGGCACAAAACCAAGTCATTCCCAGGACAGTATCCTCTGCCTTGCTGAACTGGGCAGTCCCTGCCTCCCACGTTTCCCTAGTTAATTACTACTTTTTTTCTCCACATAATCAAACAAGTTAAAATTCTCAACAGGAGTGTGTAGACCCAAATGAAGAGGGCCTTTTCACTACCAGTGGGCACTGCCATTTAATTCTTTCATGGTGCTGACACCTCCCACCAAATACTAACACACAATAATGATGTTTGGTATCACTGGGGTATGCAGTTTAGAGTGGGTTTTCTCTGTCTTGCTCTACCCTCACTAAATTTGCACCAGCCCTCAAGATCTCACTGTGGGGCTGAAATTTGCTTCTGAATGAATTTATCCCTCAGTGGAGGCAGCATCCATTTAGCTGTGGTCTTCTA